CGGACACAACATCTTTGTTGGTATGTGGTGCTGAGGATCGAACCCGGGCCGCACGCATGCCAGGCGAGCGCGCTACCGCTTGAGCCACATCCCCAGCCCTTAACATGGGGATTTGATGGTAAATTTAGGTTATAAAAAGCACTGTGGCTTCCTGCTCATTCTTACACTTCTTGTTTTGGAAGAGTCTGTTAGTCAACTTTCTAATACTGTCACAAAATACCTGAGAAAAATAACTTAAAGGAGGAAAGTTGTGTTTTGTTTTTTTTTTATGAGAGAGGGAGAGAGAGAGAGAATTTTAATATTTATTTTTTAGTTCTCGGCGGACACAACATCTTTGTATGTGGTGCTGAGGATCCAACCCGGGCTGCGCGCATGCCAGGCGAGCGCGCTACCGCTTGAGCCACATCCCCAGCCCCAAAGTTGTGTTTTGATTCATAGCTTCAGAAGTTTCAATTTGGCCTTGTTGATTCTGGGCCTGTGGTGAAGTAGAACATCACAGCAGAGAGTTTGTGATGGAGCAAAGCTGCTCACCTCAAGGTGACCAGGAAGAGAGAGATGGCGGGTGGGAGGAGGAGAAAGAAGGACTCAGGGACGAGATATACCCTTCAAGGTCAGGCCCTCAGTGACCTCTTTCCTCCTAAAGTTTTTACCATCTCCCAAAGTGCCATCAGCTGGGGAGCTAGCCTTCAAACCAGGGCCTTTGGGGACATCCCAGATCCAAGCCATAACAGAGATGTTAGTGCTGTGAGAACACAAGTCCTCCATCCAGTAAAGATGATTGCAACCCTGGCTGACATGTTCCCTTCCTCCCTCCTTCTCTTTCCTCTTTCTTTCCTTCTCGACAGGGTCTCACGGTATTTCCCAATCTTCCCACCTCAGCTCTTGGGGTAACTGGGATCCCAGGCATCCGCCACCATGCCCGGCCTGGCTAACATCCTGATGGCAGCCTCACAGGGATCCTGAGTCGCAGCCACCAAGCTAAGCCACCCTTGGATTCCTGACTCCCAGAAATTGTGTGAGATAACATGTGCATACTACCTTAAGCAGCTACAATTATCTAGTAAAAATCGCCCTAAAAATTGTTGGCCTGACAGGCTCAAACTGCACCTCTGAACATGTGTCTACCCCACCCCCTCCTCCAAGAACGGGCCATTGTTAGCACCTCCTTGGGAACCTGGATGTTGGGAACCCAGACACCACGCAGCTAAGGATTCAGTGAATCCTGGTGGGCACAGAGGTGGCACATGGTGTGTGCGCAGCTCACTACCCCTCTTCTTTTTTTTTTTTTTTTAATTTTTAGTTGTAGTTGGACAAGATACCTTTATTTTATTTATTTTTATGTGGTGCTGAGGATCGCTCCCAGGGCCTCACATGTTCTAGGCAAGTACTCTACCGCTGAGCTGCAACCCCAGCCCCTCACTACCCCTCTTCTTGATGCCAAAAAGGAGACAGAATTCATGCCAGCATGAGAGGCCATTTATTGCTCAGGGGCTGGACCCCCACGTTTTGGGGGAGCCCCCCCACTACTTCCTCCCCCCATTGTCCCCGTGGACCCCTCAAGTGGCAGGTTGCTGAGCTGATCGTGGAGGGAGCACATCTTCAGGTGTAGATAGTCCAGAGTGGCCACCTTCTCCCTGTAAGGGCAGACAGTGGGGAGTCAGCACTGTTGTGGCTTGGTGTTGGGGTGTGGGAGTAAAGGGAGGGGTTGGGTTCAGGCCCTTTCCCCAAAATCTCACGCTCCTCCCATGCCCTCAGCCTCCTTCCTCACTCCGGCTTCATCTTGTCCGTCAGCAGCAGGTTCTTGGCCCGCAAGGCCTCGTCTTGGGCCAGCCGAAGGGTGGAGCTCAGGGCCTCTGCCCTGACGTGTTTGGCCAAGGCCTGGCGCTCCAGCTCCTGGGGAGAGGAGTGTAGGTGCCGCTGGGCTTGCTGTACTGGGCTGGGAGTGGAGGGGGAGCTGGATCGCGGAGGCCAGGGGCAGGGTCCCATGGGGCCCACATTCCTCCCCGAGGTATCCCATCATGCCTTGAGGCTGAAGCCGACCCTGGCATCCCACAAGGCACTGGTTGCACTAACCCTGTGTCTATTCCTTGATGCATTGGCCTATGTCTCAGCAAGCACTAAGTCACATCTAAGACGCTGTCCCCCAAAGCTCATGAACCATCCTGTATTTGATATGCATGTGCCCACCGTGTTGTGACCTTCCACATCCCAGAAGAACCCGTGTTTCCTTATCCACAAGACCAGAGTCTCTCACAAGAACAGTCCTTAGTGCTCTGGTTCTCTATATCCCACAGTGCACCAAGCCCATGTGCTCCCCTGTACCCATCCTGGGGCTCTGCCACATCAACATCCCATGCTGCTTATCATCCATGAGGTCAGTGTTCCGTAATACAGTGGGTCTCCATGTCCCACAATGCACCAGGACTCAAGTCCCAGCAGGTACTGGGCTTCAGACTGTTGCCCCAAGAAGAGATGTGGTTCCATTTCCCACGATGCAGTAGCTTATGGTGACCAAAAGTCACTGGGTGCCCTGTCCGGTCTCACTGATCTCTCGCTGATTTCACTGATTACTGATCTCACTGCCTCTCTGAAGGTCTGGCCGGGGAAATCAGGCCAATGTCCCATGAACTTTTAGACTGGTATCTGCCTCCTGGTCCCCCAGTACACCAGATGCAATGTCCCACCATGCCTTGGGCCCAAATCTAGAGCCCAGAGTTCCAGAATGATTGGCCTATGACTCAACCACCAAGCTGCTTGCCCCTCCCCCTATGCATCAGAATTAAGTCCACCCCCAACAACTGCTGCCCACAGCTCAGCCCTTCCCTTCTGGTCACACACCAGCAGTACCCTCGTGCCCAGGACTCCGTGTCCCGTGCCCTGACAGAAAAGTAAAGTGGGGCATGGTAGCCCATGGTCCCTGGTACCAGAATCTTCTTGTGTAGCCTCTGGCAGCTGGGACAAGCAGGAGCCAGGCCCCTCTGCTTCACCTCGTCCACTAGCGGGGTCAGCGCTCGCTCCAGCAGATGCTGCAGGGACTCCGAAGACAACTGCTGCCCCTGGCTGGGGGCGGGAAGGGGACGAAAAGAGGACGAAAGAGGCCCAGTACCAACTCCATCCTCAGGATGCCCATGCACACCTTCCCAGGCTCCACCTGGCTCTGTTTCCATTATGCACCCCATACAACCTTCCACCCACGCACTGGGGACACCCCATGGTGTATCAGGTGTCCTTTGGTTCCTACTACTTAAGGGCACCATCAGTCCTTGGTTTCCAAAAGCCATCAAGAACTCACATTTCCTCTAGTGCACAAGTTAAACCTGATCTCAAGTTGTACAAGGAATTCCCCCTTCCCACAATGAACCCAGTGTGGTAGCCTTTTTTTCCCACCACACACGAGGTCTCACTTTCTGCACCATGCAGGGAGAAACCCCGCTTCCTACCATGTACCACATCCCGACCTTCCCACAATGCACTGGACATACATGATGCTCCAAATGTAGCAAAACGCAATATTTAGTTTGTGGGAAGGGAAGAAATGTCGTTCCCATTACTCAGCACGACTGACTGATTCTACCACACGCTGTCTCCCACAATGAACACCCCTCCCCCCCTTGCTGATACCCCATCTCCTTCAATGCGCTATCCTCCCTGGGACTCAGAATGCATCAGGAAGCTGGCCCCACCCCCATACCTGGCACAGCGGGCACAGGAGCCTTGCGTGGGTCGATCCAGGCTCATGGAGTGGTCAGGTCCTCTTCGGGGGTTCTGAAATTGCCGCCCCAACTCCTCCAGAATCGGTTTCACTGGGCCAAGCCCCTCCAATTCGCTCCTCAGTGAAGCCACAGACACAGCTGACCGCTCCACCCTGAGCATGAGTGTAACCAATGCTGTGTGGTAGACTTCACCCACCATTGGTCCAGCACCTGAGTCTCCATCAAGTCTTCAAAACTCTGCCCTGCCCACCCCTCTTGCTCTGTTGGCTCCTCCTTTTATATTTTAACATCTGGACTGCCTTCGCCCTGTTTCTAGATGACTTTCCCTGATCCCTGGTGTCCACTCTTTATCTCTTTGGGGCTTGGAACACATCCCTTCTCTAATTGGCTCCATCCCTCGTTCTTTAATATGCATACACCTCTTCCTGCTATCTAATTGGCGCTTCCCAACGTCAGTATAAGATCCGGACCGCTCAGAACCCCGCTGATTGGCCCACCCATTTTTTCCCTCAAGACTCCGCCCCCGCGATGGCTTCGCCCCACCCCTTCGTGGCCGACACCAGCCCCACCCCACGCACCGGCCCCTGCCCTCACATGGTGCACAGCTCGTCGGCCCGACCCCGAAGCTCCTGCAAGCCTCGGGCGGTCTGAGCTTGCTCGCGTTGCGCCCGCTCCCACTGGCCCAGGAAGCCGTCGAGCCTGCCGCCCAGGCCCCCTAGCAGCCGCAGGGCCTCCTGCACGGCCCCCTCCTCCTGATGCCACCGTGCGGTCAGCGAGGACACCTCCCTCCTGGAGGGGAAGAGGGATAGAATAGCGGGGGATTAGGTTAGGTCACGCTGCGCTATACCCACCCGGAGCTCCAGACCCAGCCGGTCCCCAAATTCTCTTGTGGTCATGTCCTCCAGAATTCTGCCTTGTCAGTTAGCCTGGGCCTTCCCTGTCAGGTCCCCGTCTCCACCACTGCGCCTACAGACTCCATCCCTCCAGGACACCTCTCCCCTCTATCCTGCCCACTCAGATTAGTCACTAGGCCCGGCTTCCCTGAGGTAGACCTACCAACCCTGACTCAAAAATTAGTTCTTTGCATGAAGAGAGCGCCTGCAGAATGGAAGAAAATCTTTACCACACGCACCTCAGATAGAGCACTAATCTCCAGGATATATAAAGAACTCAAAAAACTTAACACCAAAAAACAACCCAATAAATAAATGGGCTAAGGAACTGAACAGACACTTTGCAAAAGAAGAAATACAACTGATCAACAAGCAGTTAGAGAAAGGCAAATCAAAACTACTCTAAGAGCCAGGGATAGTGGTGCACGCATGCATCCCAGCAACTGGGGAGGCTGAGACAGGAGGATTGCGAGTTCAAAGTCAGCCTCAGCAAAAGCAAGGCACTAAACAACTCAATGAGACCCTGTCTCTGGATAAAATTCAAGATAGAGCTGGAGATGTGACTCAGTGGCTGAGTGCCCCTCAATCCCTGGTACCAAAAAACCCTAAGACTTCATTTCACTCCAGTCAGAATGGCAATTATGAAGAATACTAGAGGGCTGGGGTGTGGCTCATTGGCAGAGTGCTTGTCTAGCATATGTGAGGCACTGGGTTCTATTCTCAGCACCGCATGTAAATAAATAAAATAAAGATCCATCAACAACTAAAACAAAAATTTTAAAAAGAATACAAGCAATAATAAGTGTTGGTGAGGATGTAGGGAAAAAGACACACTCATACTCTGCTGGTGGGACTGCAAATTGGTGCAGCCAATATGGAAAGCAGTATGGAGAGTCCTAACTTGGTATGGAACCACCTACAACACTTAGGCCCCGCCCCCAAGATTTTTGACCACCAGCAAGGTCCCGCCTCCTATCACCTCGAGGTGACATCCCTAGGCCCCGCCCACCTCAACTCCTCAAGACCGGCGGAGACCTTCTGCAGCTCCTGATCGCTCCCATAGGGGCTCTCTCCTGACCGGGGCGCGGTTCCCCAGCCCACCAGGCCGCGCAGCCGAGGGGGTTCTTCGGGACTCCCTGGTGGGCCAGAGCAGCCCAGGTTGGGACCAGCAGAGCCCAGGCCGTGCCGGGAGAAGCCGGCCTCCAGCTTCTGCTCCAGCTCCTGTAGCTCGGCCTCCTGCCTCCGCGGCGTCTCATCCTGCAATTGCTGCTGCAGGTATCTCAGCTTCTCCTGGACCCGGAGAGAGAGCGGGTCACGGTGTCCAACCCTTCTCCTCCTGATACCAACTCCACCCCCAAATCTGCCCCAGTAATCGGAGACTGGAAAGTAAAAAGCCCCGGAGAGAATATTAGGAAGGACTACGTGAAGTGGGAGGGAATGTGCCATTCGAACTCCACGGGAATCCAATTCGGAAATTCCCCTGTCTGCCTCCGCGACTCCATCCAGCCCTCCCCTCCACCCCAACTCCAGTCCTCTTAGGTGTCAAAGACCAGTCCCTGCCCCTTAGGAAGAACAATGGCAACTTTTTCAGCATTTCGTTGGAAAATGAGCGAGCATGTGAGCAGGACCAGCCTTCTCAGTCCAAGTCCAGCTCAGGTCTCTCTCTCTCTGGGACTGGAGTCCCCATTCTGGGCATGGAAGCCTCTTTCGGATCCTCCTTATTAGTAGATTCTAAGTGTGACCGTGACAGCAGGGGCAGTGTCAACGTGATGGTGGCAGCAGGGCAGGAAGTCCCACCTGCGGTCTCTCCCAAGTCCCTCAGGTGTCCATCCTCCTCCCACAAATCTCCGGACCTCCTTACCTCCAGTAGGGCAGAGTTCTGCTTCAAGACGTTGGTTTTGATTTCAGCGTCTTCCACCGACCGGGTCACCTTCCGGCAGTTCTCCTGGGTCAGGACACCAGGGCGGGGGCCCTGCCTTCCCATTCCAGTTCCGCTCCCTACCCTTAGGCTGGCTATTTCCAAGCAGGCTCCACCCCGCAGGCAGAACCCCACTTACTAGTCCTGGTCCCTCGACCAAAGGAATGCTTCTGGCCTCGCCAGAACTGCGCTGTGCTGCTCCTGCGCCTCCTCCCATCTCTCTCGCGTCTGGGACTCCATTCCTTCCCTCTTCCTCCCACCCACTTCTCACCCGACTCCCGCCCCCAGTGGCTCACCTTGAGTTGACTACAGTACCCTTCCAACTCCTCAGCCTCTTGCCGCCTTCTCTCTAGATTCTCGCTCAGCACCGAACACTCACTCTGGAGCCGAAAGAGAGGAGGGTTACCGAGGTCAACAGGGGGACAGCCCACGGAAGGGGGACCCCTCTGGGGTTAGGAATGTCCCTTTCCTTTCTGAGTCTCGAGCTTCCCAACTGGGCTAGGAATGCATCAGAGTACAGGCTCGTCTAACTAACGAGCAGTCCGCCTGGAGGAAGACGAGGTCTGGGGAGAAGAGGCGGTTCTCCTACCTGCAGGGTCTGCACGTGCTGATTAACCCGGGTGGTCTTTTCCTTCAAACTGGTGATGGAGTCTTTGGCCCGGACCAATCCACTGTTGACCCCGCTCTAGGGAAGAATGGGAGACAGTGGTTAGTGGGTGGGTGGAGGCTCTGTTTGCACCCTGATTTGGCACCTCTTGGATTCTTGGTGCACCTGTTTGATAAACCCAAGGGAGAGCCAATTTTCTTCATGGTGGACTGGGAGAAGAATGAGTAGGATCCAAGAGGGACTGAGGGGAAGGGTAGGGTGCTCAGATGGGTAGGGGAAGGAGGATGGTCTCAACACTTCCGTGTGTGTCTGTGTACTGGGGACTGATTCCCCAACCCTTTCGTAAATTTTATTTTGAGATAGGGTCTCACTAAGTTGCTCAAACTTAATGATCCTTCTGCCTCAGTCACCCAAGTAGCCGGAATGACAGGCAGGCAGGACTTCACCAGGAAAAACATACCGTTAAAACACATGCTCTGACTTCCTCTCCCAGCACTTTTCAGATCACGAGCACATTCTCCAACAGGCCAAGCATTTACAGGTCCTTCATTCTTCAACAATCACACTGTGTGAGATTCTACAGCCCCATTTGCAAGGGGTCTTAAAGGGTGACATTCCTGTACTCCCAGCTACACAACACATTAGGTGACTTTGTCAGAATTTAAACTCAGAAACTTTATTTTAAACCATGACACCATGTAGCTTCTGATCATCATTTCTTGATTTTTAAAAAATATTTATTTTGTAGTTGTAGTTGGACACAATACCTTTATTTATTTTTATGTGGTGCTGAGGATCGAACCCAGGGCCTTGCAAGTGCTAGGAGAGCGCTCTACCGCTGAGCCACAACCCCAGCCCCATCATTTCTTGATTTTTGAAAAAAACTTGTGGTCCTTGGGATTGAACCCAGAGGTGCTCTACCACTAAGTGACATCCCCAATCCTTTTTATTTGGGGAAGAGGGGTACTATGAATTGAACCCAAGGATGTTTGACCACTGAATCACACCCCCAGCCCTTTTTTAATTTTTTATTTTGAGACCGAATCTCACTGAGTTGCTGAGGCTGGCTTTGAATTTGTGATTCTCCTGCCTCAGCCTCCTGAGTAGGTGGGATTATAGACACATGCCATCGATATTTTATACCACCATAAAATGCTTTATGACTTCTGCCAAACTATGGTTCCAAGAAGGAGGCATGTGGCAGGCTCTATTCTTCCCATTTCCACTGCCACTGAAGCCTTAGTGTCACACAGAATTGCCAGAGACTACATTTCCCAGGCTCCCTTGCAGCTAGGTATGGTCAGTTCCATGGGGCTAAGTTCTGGCCCATGGAACTTGGATGAAAATAGGTAGTCAATTTCAGAATTATGCCTTTAAATGAAAAGGAGTAAAAACTTCTTTCTCTCTGCCCACTGTCTGGAATGCAAAGTTGACAGCTATCTTGGACCAGCAGATGGAGACCAGTGTCAGGAGCTTCCATGGATGAACATGCCTTCAAGTCCTGATGCCCCGAGGATCTGACCAGTTACTGCATTTCACAGTGACTTGGGTGTTGACCCAGCTCGGATAGCTAGGTGTGGCTCCAGGTGTAGGTGTCACCCGCGGGGGTGGAGCTACACTCACCTGTTCCCTTGTAATCCTACCCCTTTGCCCTTTTTGGGATAGGATGTTCCATGGAACCTCCACTGTGTGTTCCCTAGATAAGAATACAGAGTTCCGGAGGCTCTCTTTCTTTCCATGAGCCCTTAAGCTCATAAAGCCGTCTCTGGAATATTGAAAAGGTACTTCTGTGTGTTTTTGTGCTTTCTCTGTCGTTTTCTTGAGTTACTGAAATAGTCAGATTTTGTGAACCCAGCAGTAGGTGGCCAGCTAAGATAGATGCTGACAGCCAGACCTGAATTCTCAACACTGTGAGGTTGCCCATTCAAGTCCAACACCTGTGAAAACTTTTACAGTTCAGAGGGCTTCTTCTGTCTTGTGCAAACTGTAATTTTGTGTCTGTCACAACAGTGAAATTTGTAAACTAATCACAGTTATTTATTTATTTATTCATTCATGGTACTAGTGATTCAACCCAGGGGCAATTTACCATGAGTTATATACTTAGCTCTTTTTATTTTGAAACAGGATCTTACTAAGTTGTTTAGGGCCTGACTAAGCTGCTGAGGCTGGCCTTGAACTTGGGATCCTCCTGTCTCAGCCATCATGCCCAGCTATAGTTTATATTATTATTTTTTGGGGGGAGGGGGCAGCTACCAGATATTGAACTCAGGGGCACTCAACCACTGAGCCACATCCTCAGCCCTATTTTTTATTTTGTAGAGACAGGGTCTCACTGAGTTGCTTAGTGCCTCACTTTTGCTGAGGATGGCTTTGAACTCTCAATCCTCCCACCTCAGCCTCCCAAGAATTAGTTCAGAAGTCTCTTAAAAAAAAA